CGAGGGCGGCGGCGTCGGCGGCGGGAAGGGCGGCGGCGACGGAGGCGGGAAGGGCGGCGGCCTTGGCGGAGGCGGCGCGGGCGGCGCGGCTGGCGGTGCCGCGGGCGGCGACGGCGGCGACGGCGGCGACGGCGAGGCCGGAGGCGGCGGCGGCGTCGACGGCGGACCCGGGGGCGGTGCGGGCGGCGACGGCGAGGCCGGCGGCGACGGCGGGCGAGGCGGGAGGGGCGGCGGCGCAGCGGGCGGCGGGAAGGGCGGCGGGAAGGGCGGCGGCGTCGGGCCGGGCGGCGAGAGCGGCGGCGGCGGTCCGGCCGGCGGCGGCGCGGGCGGCGCGGGCGGAGGCGGCGGCGGAGGCGGCGACGCGGGCGGCGCGGGCGACGATGGCGGCGGCCGCGGCGGCGACGGCGAGGCTGGCGGCTGCGGCGCGGCCGGCGGATCGGACGGAGGCGGCGGCGGCGCCGGCGGCGGAGGGAAGGGCGGCGGCGAGGGCGGCGGGAACCGCGGCGGCGAGTGCGGCGAAGGCAGCGCCGTCGGCGGCGGGAAGATCGCCGGCGACGGAAGCGGGTAGGACGACGGCCTTGGCGGCGGCGGCGCGGGCGGCGCGGCTGGCGGTGCCGCGGGCGGCGACGGCGGCGACGGCGGCGACGGCGAGGCCGGAGGCGGCGGCGGCGTCGACGGCGGACCCGGGGGCGGTGCGGGCGGCGACGGCGAGGCCGGCGGCGACGGCGGGCGAGGCGGGAGGGGCGGCGGCGCAGCGGGCGGCGGGAAGGGCGGCGGGAAGGGCGGCGGCGTCGGGCCGGGCGGCGAGAGCGGCGGCGGCGGGCCGGCCGGCGGCGGCGCGGGCGGCGCGGGCGGAGGCGGCGGCGGAGGCGGCGACGCGGGCGGCGCGGGCGACGACGGCGGCGGCCGCGGCGGCGACGGCGAGGCTGGCGGCTGCGGCGCGGCCGGCGGCTCGGACGGAGGCGGCGGCGGCGCCGGCGGCGGAGGGAAGGGCGGCGGCGAGGGCGGCGGGAAGGGCGGCGGCGAGGGCGGCGAGGGCGGCGGCGTCGGCGGCGGGAAGGGCGGCGGCGACGGAGGCGGGAAGGGTGGCGGCCTTGGCGGCGGCGGCGCGGGCGGCGCGGCTGGCGGTGCCGCGGGCGGCGACGGCGGCGACGGCGGCGACGGCGAGGCCGGAGGCGGCGGCGGCGTCGACGGCGGACCCGGGGGCGGTGCGGGCGGCGACGGCGAGGCCGGCGGCGACGGCGGGCGAGGCGGGAGGGGCGGCGGC